ATCTGAGGTTCCACTAACATACAAACTCTACTTTTCGGTACTCTGGAATAGATCTTCTCTGGGAGGCTGAGGAGTTTGATTCCCTTGTAATTGGAACACACCCTCCGAGTCCCTTCTTAAATGTGGGAACCATCATCCCAGTCTGCCAATTCAGAGGCACTGCCCCAGATCTTGACATGACGTTGCAGAGGCGTGTAAACCAAGTCAGCCATACAACATCTAGAGCAGGGCTGCCCAATCCCGGTCCTCGAGAGCTACTATCCTGCAGCTTTTAGATGCATCCCTACTCCAACACAGCTGAATCAAATGGTTTGATTACCTCTTCAGCATGCCATCATGTTTGGCAAAGGCCTGATAACAAGCCATTCATTTGATTCAGGTGTGTGGGAACAAGGATGCATCTAAAAGCTGCAGGACGGTAGCTCTCGAGGACCGGGATTGGGCACCCCTGATCTAGAGCCTTCAGGAAATCAGGAGCAATCTCATACCACCAAGGGGCGCTGCCACCATAGAGTTATATTACCTCAGTGACCTGACCCCAGTGATGGGCGAGTGATCCTCAGACCCTACGTCCTCTACAGAAGAGGTGACAGTGGGATTAAGGAGGTACCTGAAGTTTACCTGACTATATCCTCATTTAAAGTCAGTAGTGCCGCTCTGCACTACCATGTGAGTAGAGCACCACTTTCCCCTCCTAAATCATTTGACGGTTTGACAGAATCACTCTGAGGCAGTCTGAAAGTCTTTTTCGTCACTGAACTCCTCACACCCAAGCTTTTGCTTTAGCCACCTCCTGAGCCATGTCTGCTTGGCCTGCGTGGCCTGTGCCACTTTGGTGGCAGCAGATGGGTACGGACCCATCTGCTGCCACCAAAGTGGCACAGGCTAACCAAGTCTTCTACAGCTCGATAGCTCTCTTCACCTTTTGTTGTCCACCACTGGCTCGGGGATTACCACCACAACCGACATCAACCACTTTGCACCTGCAAATGGATGCTGCATCCTTGAGACTAAAGAGGAGCGGGACAGTCTGGATTCTTATCTGCACTCAAAAGTCTGCATCTCTGAACACATGAGGGTGCATCATGGTGATTTCAAAAATCACAGATTTTACAAATTAGTGCATTCTGTTTTTATTTACATGTTACACAGCATCCCAGCTTTTTTTTTTGGAACTGTGCAAAAACATAGTGAATAGGAGCCACATTAATACAATACAGATTGAATGTGCTATTACTATTTATCAGATATTGCTGTTTCTTCTGGATTCTAGGTCTTGTTAGATACAAAGTATCTGTTCAAGGTGCTGCAACAGCCACCCTGAAGGTTACTCTGATGGACAAAGATGGCCACTGTGTGGCCTCCTCTAACACACCATCTGGAGTCCTCAAAGTTGTAGATGTGAAGCTGTGGTGGCCGTACTTGATGCACGAGAATCCAGGTTACCTTTATTCTATGGAGGTAAGACAATATGCAGGCAGGGAAGTGTGTTCCTGCAGTGTGATGTGGTTTGACAATATGGCCATTAGATTTGTGAGGCTCATTAACGGGGTTTGTTAAGAAGTAATGATCTTTTATTAATTGGTTAGAGTGTAAACAGTGTAAAAGTCACAGTTTATGTACCACGAGGAAAAGCGGAAACCAGGATTTTGACTTATCCAGGTAACTTAAGGGTTAACCCTGGGTTTTTGCTATTTTTATTTGGATCTAATGTCTTTGTCTTAGAAGCAACTTTAATCTTTGATTTTTTTTTTTTTATTTATTGTTCTATAAACATTAGCCTAATATGCAAGTTTCAATTCAACTGAAAGTGCCAGATTTTCCCTGATTCTTTTATTCACAGCATGTTTTAAGTGCATTATAGATTCTCTGCTGGGGGAATACTTTTTATATTCGCAGCTTGTTAAGCTGTACCTTACAAAAACCACTGAATGAACCCTAAACTGTGTGTTGCATTGTTACAAGAATGTGCGTGTATTAACCTTGTGATTTAAAAATATATAAATATTATTATACTTGATACTAATCTGCTGCTAAACCTCTCTTATACTGGAAAATTGAAATACTAGCAATCACAAAACACACCAAGAATACCTGTTGAGTAAATTAAATATATTTCACTTTAACATGAAATGCTAATGTAATGTTAGCTTATTCTTATGCTAATATTAGTAAGCTTCTCAGCAACCATCCTAACATTTTAGTCGGTGTCTTGTTGACATAAACATAATAACATTTTAAATAAATGATGTGCTGCCATGTCTGTTTGAAAGCAGTTTGTGTAATTACGTGGGATCGTGATTTTGTTTTGATATCAAATTGGCTACAGAGAATTGCACAGTTCTACTGGTATTGGTGCCAACTGCTACATTTCTGGTGACATCATGTCTGCTGAAGAAGATGTAAAGAACAACATTTCTACAATTTGTACTTTAACCTCTAGGTCCACCTAATAGCAGTCAGTGAGACATCAACATATGAAGATTTGTATACTCTGCCAGTCGGCATCCGCACAGTCAACGTTACCAAGACCCAGTTCCTCATTAACAACAAGCCGTTTTATTTCCATGGTGTTAATAAACATGAGGACTCTGATGTGAGTACCACTAGAGGGATGAAAATCCAGGATGACTCTGTCTTATTTGTCTTTGAAACAATGTGTCAACATTAATTTGAATCACAATTAAGAGACTTAATTGAATGACCTCATCTTTGTTTTCCTGGTTTTAATGTGTTGTAGATTCGAGGTAAAGGATTGGACTGGCCCCTAATTGTAAAGGACTTTAACTTAATTAAGTGGTTGGGAGCCAACTCGTTACGTACCAGCCACTACCCCTATGCTGAGGAGATCCTGCAGATGTGTGACCGTCATGGGATTGTGGTGATAGATGAGTGCCCAGGTGTTGGCATCAAAGACATGTAAGTGTCACTAAACGCATCTCTGTAGCCCATGAGTATGTTTGAGGTCAACAGTGAGAAATTCTGTGTTACAATGTGTGAAGATATGGAGAAACTTACATATTGGTATGGCAATCCTGTGACTCAGCATAAACAGTAGTAACCAGACCGAAAAGCAGCGCACATTTCGGTGCTTTATTTCGGTGCTTTTTTTCCTGAGCTCTGATAGACTTTAGATTCTAGCCAATCATTTTACGTTTCCAAGGATAGTAGGCGGGTCCAGGTACGTACGTTCTTTTAGAGCAGAGCTACAGATTAAAATGCCCAAGGCGAAGCGGCCAAAAGTCTGGCTGTACTTCACAGCAAAA